TGGTCATGGTGGTTCATTGAGGCATCAGAAACCCTAACTAAGACAAGGAGGAAGGGTTTATCTTGCTCACAGTTAGTGGGAAGAGCCTGTCATGGTGGGGAAGTCAAGACAGGAGCCTGAGGCAGCTGCTCATGACAGGCTCACAGTGAAGCAGCAGACGCAGCTGAACGCTGGTGTTCGGCTCACCTTCTCCTCTCTGGTCAGCCCAGGACCCCAGCCCAGGGGATGGCACAACTCTCTCAGGGCGGGTCCTCTCCCTCAGTTAACCCAATCTAGATAATCAGTGGCTGCGGTGAGTAGAAGATTGTGTCCATGGCAACTCTACCTCCTGCCAAATTGACAATCTAGATTAACCCACAGGACAAGTGCAGGATGAGGGTGCCAGGCAGGGTTCAGGGGAGAAGGGGAGGTGCAGGGGAGCCCACAGGGAACCAAGAACACGAGGCTCAGCTCTCACAAGCAAAGGGGCAGCAAGCTGTTGCTCAAGAGAGCAGTGAGACTAAAGTGAACTGAGAGTGGACCCACAAGTATGTGGGGGACGGGGGTGAGGAGCCGGGCTGCTAAAGGCAGGTGTGGGGGGACGAGGAGGACATGCTGCCCAGGACGGACCCTCTCAGCTTCAGGTCTTGGGTGGTTTTGCTTTTCCTGGGGGAGACTATTTCTACATCTTCCTGTAGATAATGGGGAGAAAGAAGGACAAAAGGAGAGGTCCCACCTGAGTCCAGCTCGGTGAACCAGTGAGTTTATCCGGTGACAGAAGCATGGGTGAGGGTTCCTTACGGAAACCAAAGTGACTCAAAGATGCGCATCACCAAAAGTCTCAACTGAGCATGGGCGATGACCAATGAAGGCTGGCACTCTTGGACTTTCCTGTACAACTTGTAGGCAGCTCCAGTATGGTGATATTTTATTTGTACTGAAATGTGATTTTTATTTGCATGTTAATAAATAAAGTTGCCTGGGGGTCAGAGCTAATAGCAAGCTATAGCAGAGCTAGGTAGATCTCTGTGTGTTCAAGGATACAGCCAGCATTGGAGACACATGCCTTTAATCTCAATACCATAGAAGACCTAGAAGTCTGTACAGACAGGCAGTGATGTGGCAGTCATGTGTTTGGGTTTACAACCAATGAGAAGGCAGAACAGAAAGACTATATAAAGGCAAACATACAGGAAGTAGGTCTCTTTCAGAGAGGTCTCTTGGCTGAAGAGGCTAGCTGCAGCAGGCGGTAAGGCTCGTAGCTCTGATCTCTTGGCTTTCTTTTTTGCATTGTTTCTGTGTTTCTTATTTAATAAGACGGTTGGTTACATCTACACTCCAGTGAAGAGTCTTTGCTTCCCCAGTGACTCACTTGGGATGTGTGTGTGTGTGTGTGTGTGTGTGTGTGTGTGTGTGTACATATTGCATATATGTGTCCTTGTATACATGTGTGTGGGGGACAGAGACTCACATTAGCTAGCTTCCTCAATGGCTCACTGTATTATTGTTTTTAATATTTATTTTTACTTATGTGTGTCCTTGTGAGTATATGTGTGTGTGTGGGTTGGGATCTGCACAAGTCAGAAGAGGACACTGACTCCCCTGAAGGTGGAGTTACAGCTAGGTGTAAGCTTCCAGACTTGGCCTCTGGGAACAAAATGTGGGTCCTTTGCAACAGCCTTATGAACTTTGAACCAATGAATCCTATCTCCATTCTCCTTACATCTTTCCATCATCCTCCTTATATCTCTTCATCCTCCTTAAGCCTCTCCATCCTCCTTACATCTCTCCATCCTCCCTCCTTACATCTCTCCATCCTCCTTACATCTCTCCATCCTCCTTACATCTCTCCATCCTCCTTACATCTCTCCATCCTCCTTACATCTCTCCAACCTCCTTACATCTCTCCACCCTCCTCACATCTCTCCATCCTTCTTACATCTCTCCATCCTTCTTACATCTCTCTAGCCTCTTTACATCTCTCCATCCTCCTCACATCTCTCTAGCCTCCTCCTTTTTTGACACAGTTATCTCTGTAATGCTTAATCTTGGTTGAGAACTCCAACTAATATAGTCTCTCACCAAACATACTAATTCTCTAGGCTGGCTGGCCAGTAAGATCCTTGGATAATCCTAAGGCTCTACTAAGCCTGTGGGATGGCAGACCAATGCCTCCCTGCCCAGTCTGACTGTGGGTTCTGGGGATCGAACTCTGGCCTTCATGCACGCCCAGCAAGCGCTTTACAAACTGCACCCTCTCCCCAGCCTCACCCCTGGTAATTTAAAATGTTCTACAATTATCTATTTATTTATTTCTCAGTGTGTTTTAGTTACTTTTTGTTGCTATGGTAAAATACAGAAAGACCGACACATTTTCTTTCCTTTGTAGATGTTAGCTTTGAGACTTCATATACATGTTTCATTTGAAACACTCATGGAGGTCAGGAAATTACTGAGGGGCCACAGGCAGTGAGGGGCTTTCCAGGAACCAAGGAATGGGGATGTGGAAACCATGGTACAGAGACTTAAAGGAGGTTAGTGGAATAGGGAGAGGTAGATTGGGGTGGGGATGGGAGGTCATGGTAACAGAGGAAAATATGGGAGGGATACATAACATTAAAGATAATTGAAACAGTGATGTGGAAACCTGTGTACCACTGTCCATGCTTCATGTGCATATGTATGTGTGTGTGCATGTTACCCTATATTGAATTGGGTGACATTGGTCCTCTTAGATACCATTGACTAATAAATAAAAAGTTCAATACCAGGAATGGCTTACTTCTTTGGGGGTTGCTGGCTAGTGAGGCCCCATAGACCCCCAAACATTAAACGCTAGTGTCAATGCTCTCGGTTAACCCCAGGACTTTATGGTCAGACCCTGTTGTTGAAGACACCACATACCAGAATCACAGAACGTGCAGAAGAAGTCAAGGTGATGTGTCCTGGAAGCTTCATTCCTTTTGGCTAGCTTTCACAATGCTGGAAGGTTCTATACACTCCACCAGAGGAGAGTAACCTCCAGGCTTTCCCAGCTGTGAACCCTGAGAGCTACCGTAACAGCTGCCTGGCAGGACATGCCCACTGAGCAACAGTGGTACAAACACCACAGTGTAACCAACCCATCTTCTGACTGGACTGAAGCCCAACTCCACGAGCTGAAGACTATACCTAGCATGATTACCAGGCCACGAATCTGTGGCTAGACATGTCACGGGACCGAGGGGAGAACCTACTACTGTTATTCTGCTACACGGACACAGTGTTGAGCTGACCCCTGATGACTCATTATTATACCCTCAGATCAACACAGCTCTCAAGCGCCATCTGAGAAGTTTCTATTTCGTTAGTTGGTGATTAACACTGAGAGCACACTGGCCAAGGTGCAGAGAATAAGAGACTGAAGATTCTCATCCCTAAGTGGAACATATATTCTGCACCCCTTCTTTCCAAAGCTCAGGGATCGCTGCAGAAGAGGGAGAAGAAGGACTGTAAGAGCCAGAAGTGGCAGATAACTACAAGGAGACTGTGTTCTAGTCAGGGTTCATATTGCTGCAATGAGACCATGACCAAAGCAAGTTGGGGAGGAAAGGGTTTATTTGGCTTATACTTCCACATCACAGATCACAGATCACAGTTCATCATCAAAGAGAGTCCGGACAGGAAGGTAACATGGCAGGAATCTTGAGATTTACGTTTCCTGAACCCTGTCAGTGAGGTGGACCTCACCCCTCCCTCCACAAGGACCTGTCTACTTGTGGAGGAAACAGAATCACAAACCATGTGAGCCACTGCAGCCCATGAAGTGGGAACAGATAGATGGATCTGAGTTCCAGGTGAGTGTGGGGTGTGTCTGAGTTCCTGGGGAGTCAGCAGGTGTGTGTGGGTGTGTCTGAGTTCCAGGTGAGTCAGCAGGTGTGTGTGTCTGTGTCTGAGCTCCAGGTGAGTCAGCAGGTGTGTGTGTGTGTGTGTGTGTGTGTGTGTGTGTGTGTGTGTGTGTCTGAGTTCCTGGGGAGTCAGCAGGTGTGTGTGG